AAAAAAATAAATCCGCACCAGGAATTAACACCAATTAATACCTTTAGTATACCCCATTTAAATTAGGTAAACGATATAAATTTTATTTTTAAACACCCCTCCCCTCCCCTCCTCTTTTTTTTTTCTTTCGCTTATTATGCTTGAGCTTATTTTTACGATTCCCTCAAACTATACTTTTAAAATAACTTTTATCTATACTTTAGCACACTTGATTAAGAGACCGAGTCTAAGAAGCTAAATAAGGATGGGCCCTTTCGTTTCTTGGTTCCTAGCGTGCATTACATAGTTCACCGCATCATGCACTAGGCACATGCTTTGAGTGGCATCATAAGAACGCAGGAAAATTGTCATACTTTAGAAGGAAGTAACAGTATTTCAACTCTGCGCCGAGCCAATCAAAATTAATATATCTTTTTCCGTGAGCTTAGCCAGCAAGACTAACGACAATAATATATTGCTTGAGCGTTGAACTGTAATCAACAAATACTTACGAAGAAGATCAGAATATTACGTAAGCTTGACATTCGCTCTTAAAAGTATTCAGATATTAACATGTTAAAAAAGCAATGACAAACGTCCTCAGCGTATTTTGGGGCATATGTAGCGGGTTGTTAGGTCAGAAGTTAACAATAAACGAATCATGACGCTGTTGTTTTATTGCTATGGTGAATAAGTGTTGTGGACTTCAGCAGAAGATTCTGTCGGAAAACACCCACTTTGATCTTAAAAATACTAGATGATCAATACTATTTACCAATATTAGCAACCACAAACATTCTCGCACTGTCGCTAAGGATTTCAAATTCCATCCGCTTCGCCTATAAATTGTGGGCTCTAGAAGTTTATGTTATTACTGTGCAGCTAAAGAAAGGAGCGAGGACCAGATAAGCTAGAAGTTAAGATGAGTTCAAAACTGTTGGTTATCCTATGTCTCCTGGTTGTATCAGGACAGCTTTGGGCTGCTCCTTTTCCTCAGGAAGTTGGTAAGTTGTAAAAAGATTTTGTCATTGCGTTTTGAAATGTCCCTGCGCGCAATGAATACTTAAACCTGAAAAATGTTTTTGACAAACATCATACCCCAGGCTTTTTTTATGATACGTTGTGTTTAGAAATGAAACGTATACTACATCAACAAAACTAAAGATATTAACTGTTTTAATACGATTAACTAAATTGATTTTAGGTATTGGACACGTTGAAAGTCCGGCAAGGTTTAAATTCAGCGAACATTTCTTTGTAGTATTTGAGTTAGTAGCAAGTCGTTTGAAACCCTTTCTTTCGCGCATATAGTTTTGCAGTGCTTAAAAAGTTTGGCTAATGGAAAACGTCTTGTTCTCAGTAATTCAGAACATTTTAATTGAAAGTCTTAGAGAAACTACCACAATACGTTATAAATGTTATTTAAAAATCACATGCCAACAGAGAGCAACATGGTAGTATTGATCTGCTTAGTTTTAAAAGCAAATCAGCTAATAAACAATCGAACTTTCAATAAATTTAATTTAATGACAAATTCAAAAACAGCAAGCTCCAATCCTTTAATGGCTTAAGAAAGACTTCGATGAAATTATGGTAAACTAGAATGTCCTGTCGCCGGTTGTATGAATATCCCTGTTGATTAAAGGGTAATGTATAACGAGCAAATTTCACATTTCATTTGTCTTTTCATGATATCATCAAACAGCTTAAGTAAAAACAGAGCCATAATGACGAAAACCCGCTGCCTCGGGACAGACAGGCCATTAAAAATTTAACATTTTTTTTTTTTTTTTTTTTCATAAAAGGGTTTTCTTTTGGGTGAAGAATGGTTGCCCGGGTGGGTGAATGAGTGGTTGATTGGCTTGATGAGTTGAATGAGTCCTTCATNATTTTTTTTTTTTTTTTTTCTAATTTTCCTGTACTGGCTCTAGACCAGCTTTTCACATAAGCATAGGTTTTGCGACACCTCATTTTTTCAGAATTAAGTGGGCTTACAAGAGACCACTTACTTGTAAACCCACACCCTTTCCAGCTAGAAAATGTGTTTCCGTTTACTGACGTCACTTCAACAATATTATCGCATTTCCTGTGGCGTTTTTGCTGTATTTAGATCAAAAACAGCCTTCGAGGTTTGGGTGTCCAAACAATGGAACAAAAAATGTTTTTATATAAACAAATTTCGTTTGTGCTTTGAGAAGCTGAGGTTTCAATTACTTCGATTAAATGTAAGCATACTGTTAACTGAAGGCGCACGTGACGAAAACAAAGCTACTCCTATAATTTAAGTTAGTGAACTTTCGTGTTCGTTAGAGGATCCTAAGATTTAGGGCTCTGTTTCAGCCCACCGTGAATATTGTAAATTAATCATGATAACCAACAAACACAACTTAATCACGTGTATAATGACTTAAGTGACACCAAGAGCAAATAAACTTTTTGTTGTTAACTTTTACAAGTTAAACAATATATTAAAAATTCAATAATTTTTATAGAATTAGAGGGAGAGGAAAGTGGGGAAGAGGAAAGTGGAGAAGAAGAAGAAGAGGAAAGTGGAGAAGAAGAAGAAGAAGAAGAAGAAGAAGAAGAAGAGGAGGAGGAGGAGGAGGAAGAAGAAGAAGAGGAAGAAGAGGAAGAAGAAGAAGAGGAAGAAGAGGAGGAGGAAGAGGAAGAGGAAGACGATGACGACGATGATGACGATGATGATGACGACGACGACGATGATGACGATGATGATGATTAGGAGGAGGATGATGACGACGACTGAGTTAAACTACCTAAAGTCTACATGCGAATATGCATATGAAAATCAGTGGACACGTGCATAAATCAGGATAATGAATACGAAAAGGAACTGTCTTGCACTCTCCAACGAAACCCGCAGATATCACAAGTCGATCACTTACTGCATTAGGCACGTGAAGTTAAATTATTGTCTGATTGGTTAGCTATTTTTTAAGATAAATTGAAAAAGAAATAAATAAATGTCAAGACTAGTATGTACGAGTAAATTGAGTTTGTCATTTCTACTATACAGCTATATCAATCCTTGCAAGGGGGCAGAAGAGCATAAACAGTGCTATTTCTACGTGTCTATTTCCGGTCCCTACGCCCCACGCTTTGCACTCGTGAATCGTGCTTCGTGCTCTTCTCCATTAAACCCCCTGTTTTATTAGGCACCAGTCTGCATTTTGTTTTGCTCGTCCAGAAACTCCTCCCTAAAGTCGACAAAAATTTGGTTTATGGCAAAACGTCCTGTCGAAAAGCATCAACTCATCTTACTTTCCTAGAGTCTATTAGTAAATTCCAACAGAAAATATTCATAATATCGTTTAGCAAAGTATCGTGCAGTACACCCATAAGCAAGCTTACGTCAACTTCATTCTGATACTTTCTTCACAACTTCGTTAAATAACCTTCACCCTAAATCTTTCAGTAAGCCTACCCTATAGTTTCCTCAAAATTTGATCTCCCAGTGGCCGATTAAGAGGGTGGGAGTTAAATTGGGTCGCTAGACACCCCAAATCTCAGAGAAATAAGTCAAATTTTAAACAGAAAAGATTGTGAGTATAAAGGAAAAAATAAAAATAAGGCCTCTGGGCAGGTACTTCGTTGTAATTTCATGTGGCATTGCTAGTATTTCTTGTGTAACAGTTTTCAATTAGGTTCCAGTACTCAAATTGCAACATTGTGAAGGCATGCAACATTAATTTTGCAACATTTTGGAGGATGCAACATTGATTTGGCAACATTTTGGAGGCATGCAACACTGATTTTGCAGCCCCAGGACACCAGAGGCGCCATCTAACCTGGTACCCAGGCGACGTGGTGCCTCGTGCCAGCAAATGCTTATTTCACCTTCGCATCTCAATCGGGAGAAAAAAACATTATTTCTTTCTGTCTACGCTGATAGTAAATTAAACCTTCTCTTGCTATGTACTGGTGACCATAGCAGGGTCCTTCAATGACAACAATTTTCAATATTCTTCTAATTGAATACAAGTCAAAATATATTCCTGGCAATGATTTCTAGAAAATGTCGAATTAAATTCGTGAATTTATTTGTAACACTGGGTTTACCATAATTTTTATGTATATTTTTGGGAAGTGTTTAATTACTTTTCAAAGTGATCTGGCCTTTCAAATCAATGCAAACCTATTCATGCACGGTCCTACCAGTGGCTCTCAATCAATCTTGAAATTCGAAGCTCCAGGCCTAGGTTCAGTTCGAATGCACATTTGATTTTTATAAGAGACCTATCAGTTAACGAATTAAATAGAAAGGAGCAGAGGTCCAGGTCGGCTATTAATTATAAATGTAACCCTCTTCATCCGGCCGTTTTTGGTCTTTCTTGGAGCCTCAAGGTTCAGGTTTCTTGGAGCTTGAAGGAAACTGAAGGTTCAGAAGTCAACGTCTCTTGAATTCTACTGACAACATATTTTTTTGGTTAACATTTGATTTTAATGTGTCGTGATTGCGACGACATCTGTTTTATCAAATAGACCACTCGAAAGATTCATATGGAACTTCATCCGGGGACTCGGGTGGCGTATTTTCCATATCCTCACATGAAGATATTAATGACTTAACTGATGTCATGTTTGACCCTTAAACTGTACTTAAACATGTTAGTGTATAATCGAAACAGCTTCGGATCTTCCTTAAAATTCTTTCGTAATCGCCGGTTATCTTGGGATATCTTCGGTAATCTTCAGACATTTTCGAAAAATGTTCAGAAATGTTCCTGTGGCTAAAGCACAATTTTTGGATGACCTTCAAAAATCTTCCAAAAGTGGTCGGAAATCTTCGGGAAATAGTAAAAAAAACGTCGTTATCGGTATGTTTATATAATAAACAAAATAACACATGGTTGCTTGTGGGTATGGAATATCTCTTCACCTTTCGGCGTTATATCTCCATATATCTGTATATTTCAACTTTACGCGCGCCCATATATTATTCTCCATATATGTCATTGCCAAACCGTCTCTTATCAATATTTCCACCAAACGCCAAAATATAAACTCAAAAACTGCAACATGGTTGAGAAGACCGCGATTTCTGGTTAAATATTTGTTTGTTATTAGTGGCCTGAGCTTTAAATTTACCACTCTCATTAAGTAACGTTGAAGAACGGGTCTAGGGAACAGTAGTAGCTCAGCTCCTATAGGAAAATGTTTTATATCATCAAAATTTGAGGAAACGAAATTTTTGATTCTGACTTTTTAAAATTAGTAAACTTTTACTGATGAATTAGTTACAAGTTTTTACTTAATTTGATGGATTGTTAGTAAATTAGGGGCATGAAATGCAGATCCAATCAGAAAACAATAATCATAACGAATAAGTGGAGAAAAAATAAATACACGAATAACGGCTGCCCCTTTAAAAATGTTAAACAAACATCACTAACGTCAAAATATTTGCCATTAATTCCGTTAAATATCCTTCGAATTTAGCGGTTGCAATGTACGTCTAAAATAGGCCAATTTGGACATATTTGAATTCTCACTTGGCGCCTAGGCTTAGGGGAATAAAACAAAAGAAATCATTTTATACGTCCTCTAAATTCGATGTGAAAATATATCGAAATGTGTCATTCCCGTGTTTTTACTTCTGTTTCAAAACGAGTCCTAGTGCACAAAATTTCATATCGAAATGGTTTATCTGCAAGACAATGAACGCGCAAGAAAAACTCATTTCGTTATGAAAATTAAAGTTGCGCACCGAGACTCGTTTTGAAAATGAGCTGAGAGCCGCGGTCCCTCCCGGTTTGTTAGAAACATTTTGCTGTTGTTGTTTTGATTGAACAAAAATCGAATTGAAAGCAGCAATAAACTTCGGCAGGATGTCTTCAGTGGGGGAACACGAGATTATTTTGTAAATTATGGGTTAGCTGGCAAGTAATTTATAAGCTTGACAGTATAAAAAGCGAACGATATTAGTTCCGATTTACCACTCATAAGCCCAGCAAATCAATATATAAAATACTGCAAAGCAACACCCCAGCCCCAGAAAACAATAATATATCATGGAGGCGCCAGAATGGCAGCGTCTTTCTAGAAGTTGGTCGAAACATTTCTGAAACAATATTTGTGCAATGTAGTTAAACGCCCCTTTTGAATTTTATGTTCGCACAATATAACAGTTTTTAGAAAGAGAATATAAACCTAGGAATAATACAGGTGCAAAAAGAACGAGATAAAAAGGGAAGTAATTCAATTATATATTATATAACTATATAATCAATTATATAATTATACATTCAATCGTACGCTGCGAAATGTATCATGCTGCCTCAGAGCTTGTCGCTTCAGGACCATTGACGTCCCGTCTGGCGTAGAAATGTCACTCGGATAACTGATTTTAGTGTCATCCTTTCCCTCTCAATACACTTAACTGATTGCTATGAAATTAACTTTTATTAGCCAAGAAACAGCAACCATCGTACAATGCTCTACACTTCACTGTCGCTCTTTAATCTGCTCTCTACCACAAGTGCTTTTTTAGTAAAGTAAATTGTGCTATTAAGATTAATAAATATTTTGCATTATCAGTGTTTCAGAAAAAAAAAATTGTAGTAAAGGCTTTAAGAGTATTTTCTGTGCTGAACCTGTTCCTTAGCCGCTTGTCCATTCCCGCATGTTTGCTTCTTAGTAACCAGTCTCTTTCACTGCTATTTGCGGAACTTACCTTAACTTACCTTAACAAAACAAATAAATATACGTGTATCAGCTTCTTGATTTCTGTTAACCGCCATTCGCACATTTTGTACTCGGCGATCATTATCGGGTACTAGAAGCCACCAACTGACCGCTGAATAACAACATTTTGTAAACCCTCATATAGGATTATTAACTCCCAGATTTCTTTCTCGCGTTTGTATTGTATTGTATTGTATTGTATTGCGTCAATCACTTCATTTCAAATGCCCAGGGAAATTTCGACAAATTCGTTGGAAGTAAGACATAAATAACAGCCTATACAGTTGTCGATTTTTCTAGAACTTTATTTCCTTGGCCTGTTGACTGCCTTGCAGACAGTTTATATCTTACAATCACAACTAAATAAAATGGTTAACGGTGTGTGGTTTTGCTTTGTTGTGTGATATAGTAACACCGTCTCTGAGGCGACAGTCGGTTAAACAGTCAGGATGCATATGATAACATTTGGAAAATCGAAGAGGCATTTAACTGTGCGCCACACTCTGGCTTAGAGAGAAAATCTTACTAAGAAAGTCTAATTCCTTAAGAAAGAAAGACAGAGAATTTAACCAAAAAGTACCATGAACAAGAGCACTTACTAATGTGCTTATCTTTAAACGCTTGAGCTGCTAACATCCTACAGAAAAAATATATCACTTGCGATCCAATACGACATCGATTGGAATGTCCATTTTAATTTGTTCTTTGCAATTGGATAGTCGTCTTTATAGTATCGTTTGTTTGCGGTAATCATACTTTGTTTTGTGGTGTTTGAATAATGTGAAACAAATATGTGTTCATTATAGTAATCGACCGCTAGTATTTCTCGGTCGTGTTTTTAACTCTCCAAGACCATTATCAAGAATAAACCTCAGATACAAAGCCGAAAAAGCTATTGGCTAACATCTTCTTAGACACCCTTCAATGCTTTTACAGAGACAATCTAAGCGCTTGAAAAGGAATATTGCCTTCTTGGACACGGAATTCACAGTATTTCCGATACACCACTGTTATTCTAAAAATTAGCCAATAAGAAACAGCTTAAGCCTTTTCCCTAGCGTCCACTAAGCAAGCGACAACATGAGTAATATTAACTGTTATTTGCATGTGTAAAGTGAGAAAAATACACATACAAGAAATTTTTGCGTGATGGGTAAAATGCGCTTGAAATATTCATTAAGGCCGACTACTTTCGTTTTTCTAAATCCCCACGCACACCTTTTGAATGTTTGACCGTTCTACATGTAATATTGTACTGCACGACTTATCAGCTGATATTGGAGCCCCACATGTTATCGCGTTGTTG